AGGCAAAGAAAAAAAAAAAGAAAAGAAGAAGAGAAGAAGAAGAAGAAGAAGGAAAAGAAGAAGGAAAAAGGAAGGTAAAAAAGAAGGAAAAAAAAAAAAGGAAAAGAAAAAGAAGAAGAAAATAAAGAAAAGAAAGGAAAAAGAAATGAAGAAAAGAAAGAAGAAGAAGGAAAGAAGAAGAAAAATAAAAAGAAGGAAGGTAAAAGAGGAAGAAGATAAAAGGAAAGAAGAAGGAAAAAGAAGGAAGAAATGTAAAAGAAGGAAGGAAAAGAAGAAGAAGAAGGAAAGAAGGAGGAAAGAAAAGGCAAGAAGATAAAAAAGAAGAAAGGAAAAGAGGAAGAAGAAAAAGAAGAAAGAAGAAGGAAAGAAGAAGGAGAAAGAAGAAAAGAATGAAAGAAAAAGGAAGAAGGAAAGAAGAAAAAGAAAAGAAGAAGGAAAGGAAAAGGGAAAAAGTAAAAGAAGGAAGGAAAAAAAGAAGAAAAAGAAGAAGGAAAGAAGAAGGGGGAAAAGAAAAAGAAAAGGAAAAGAGAAGGAAGGGAAAGAAGAAGGAAAGAAGAAGGAAAGAAAAAGGAAAAGAAGAAGGAATGAAGGAAAAAGGTAAAAGGGGAAAGAAGAAAAAGGAGAAGGAAGGTAAAAGAATAAAGAAGAAAAAGGAAAAAAAGAAAGAAGAAGGAAAAGATAAAGGAGAAGGAAGGTAAAGAGGAAGAAGAAAGGAAAAGGAAAAAAGAAAGAAGAAGGAAAGAAGAAAAGAAGGAAAGGTAAAAAGAAGAAGAAGATAAAGAAGAAGGAAAGGAAGAAGAAAAGGGAAAGAAGAAAAGAGAAAAAGAAGGAAAAGAAAAAAAGAAGGAAAGAAGAAGAAGGAGAAGAAGGAGGAAAAGAATCAAGAAGGAAAAAGAAAAAGAATAAAGGAAAAAGGTAAAAGGAAAAGAAGAAGGAAAAGAAGAAGGAAGGTAAAAAAAAAGAATGAAGGAAAGGAGAAGGAAGGAAAAGAGAAAGAAGAAGGAAAGGAGAAGGAAGAAGAAAAAAAAGAATAAAAGAAAAAGGAGAAAAAGAAGAAGAAGGAAGAAGAAGGAAAAGAAGAAGGAAAAGAAAAGAAAAGAATGAAGGAGAAAAAGAAAAGGAAAGAAGAAAAAGAAGGAAAAAGAAAAAAAGAATGAAGGAAAAGAGGAGGGGAAAGGAAGAAGGAAAAGAAAAAGGAGAAGAAGGGAAAAAGAGGAAAAGAAGGAAGGAAAAAAGAAGAAGGGAAAGAAGAAGGAAAAAAGGAAAAGAAGAAGGAAAATGTAAAAGAATGAAGGAAAGAAGGAAAGAAGAAGGAAGAAAAAAAGAAATAAAATGTAAAAGAATGAAGGAAAAAAGGAGGGGAGAAGGAGAAGGAAAAGAAGAAGGAAAGAAGAAGGTAAAAATGTAAAAGAATGAAAAAAAAAAGGGGGAAAGAAGAAGGAAAGAAGGAAAGGAAAAAGAAAAAAAAAGAAGGAAAAAGAAGAAGGGAAAAGGGAAGGAAATGAAGAAGGAAAGAAGAAGGAAAAAAAGAAAAAGAATAAAAAGGAAAAGGAAGGGGAAAGGAGAAAGAAGAAGAAGGAAAAAGAAGAAGGAAAAATGAAAAAAGGAAAAAAAAAAAGAAGGAAAGAAGAAGGTAAAGAATCAAGAAGGAAAAGGAAAAAAGAAAGAAAAGAAGAAGAAGGGGAAAGAAAAAGAAAGAAGGAAGGAAGGAAAAGAATGAAGAAAAAAAAAGAAAAGAAGAAGGAAAAAAGAGGAAGAATGAAAAGGAAAAAGGAGGAAAAAGAAGAAGGAAAGGAAAGGAGAAGGAAAGAAAAAGAGGAAAAAAAAGGAAAGAATGAAGAAGGAAAGGAAGAAAAGAAAGAAGAAGGAAAAGAAGAAGGAAAAAAATGAAAAGAATGAAGGAAAAGAGGGAAAAGGAGGAAAAGGAAAAAAAGAAGGAAGAAGAAGGCAAAAAGTAAAAGAATGAAGGAAAAGAGAAAAGGAAAAGGAAAAGAAAGAAGAAGAAAAGAAGAAGGCAAAAATGTAAAAGAATGAAGGAAAAAGGGAAGAAGGAAAAAAGAAGGAAAAGGAAAAAAAAAGGCAAAGAATGAAAAAAGAAGGAAAAAAGAAAAGTAAAAAGAAGAAAAAAGAAGGAAGAAGGAAAAGAAAAAGAAGAAAGAAGAAGAAGGAAAAAGAATCAAGAAGGAAAAGAAGGAAAAGAAGAAGGAAGAAAAGAAAAGAAAAAAAAAGAAGGAAAAAGAAGGAAAAAAAGGAAAAGAATGAAGGAAAAAAAAAAAAAAATGAAGGAAAAAGAAGAAGGAAAAGGAAAGGAAAGAAGGGAAAAGAAGGAAAGAGTAAAAGAGAAAAAAAAAGAGAAGGGAAAAGAAGGAGAAGGAAAAGAAGAAGGCAAAGAATGTAAAAGAAAAAAGGAAAAAAAGGGGAAAGGAGAAAAGAAGAAAAAGGAAAAAGAAGGTAAAAATGTAAAAGAAGAAGGAAGGAAAAGGAAAAAGGGAAAAGAAGAGGAAAGAAGAAAAAAAAAGAAGGAAAAAAAGGAAAAGAATGAAGGAAAAGAAAAAAGAAAAAGAAGGAAAGAAGAAGAAGAAATGAAAAGAGAAAGAAGGAAAAGAAAAAAAGAAGGAAAAAGAAGGAAAAAGAAGAAAAAGGAAAAGGAAAAGAAGGAAAAAGGAAAAAAGGAGAAAGAAGAAGGAAAAAGTAAAAGAAGGAAAAAATGTAAAAGAAGAAGAAGAAAGAAAAAAAAGGAAAAGAAGAAAAAAAAAAGAAGGCAAGAAATGTAAAAGAATGAAGGAAAAGAGGAAAAGGAAAAGAAGGAAAAGGAGAAGGAAGAAGGAAAAAGTAAAAGAAGGAAGGAAAAGGAGGGGAAAGGAAAGGAAAGAAAAAGGAAAGAAGAAGGTAAAAGTAAAAGAATGAAGGAAAAGAGGAAAAAGAAGGAGAAGGAAAGAAGAAGGAAAGAAGAAGGTAAAAGAATGTAAAAGAATGAAGGAAAAAAATCAAAAGGAAAAGGAAAAAAGAAGAAGGGAAAAGAAGAAGGAAAAGAATGTAAAAGAATGAAAGATAAAAGAGGAGAAGGGAAGAAGGAAAGAAGAAGGCAAAAAGGAAGAAAAGAATGAAGGAAAAGAAAAAGAAAAGGAGAAGGAAAAGAAGGAAAAGAAGAAGGCAATAAAGGAAGGAAAAGGAAAAGGGAAAAAAAAAAGAATCAAGAATGAAGGAAAAAAGAAGAAGAAGGAGAAGGAAAAGAAAAGAAGAAGGAAAGAAGAAAGGTAAAATGTAAAAGAAGAAGGAAAAGGAAAAGAAGGAGAAGGAAAAAAGAAGGAAAAAGAAGGCAATAAATGTAAAAGAATGAAGGAAAAGAAGGGAAAAGGAGAAGGAAAAAAGAAGGAAAAGAAGAAGGAAAAAAGTAAAAGAATGAAGAAAAAGGAGAAGAAGGAAAAGAAAGAAGAAGGAAAAAAGAAGGCAAAAGAAAATGTAAAAGAATGAAGGAAAAGAGGAAGGAAAAAAGGAAAAGGAAAAAGAAGAAGGAAAAGAAGAAAGGCAAGAAAAGGTAAAAAAAAAAAGAAAAGAGAAAAGGAAAAAGTCGAAGAAGGAAAAGAAAAAGAAGGAAAAGGAAAAGAAGGAATAAAGGAAAAGGAAAGAAGAAGGAAAAAGAAAAAAAGAAAAAGGTAAAAAGAAAAAGAAGAAGGAAAAAAAGGGGGAATGAGATAAAGGAGGAAAAAGAAGGAAAGAAGAAGGCAAAAGGTAAAGAATGAAGGAAAAGAGGAAAGGGAAAGGAGGAAGGAAAAGGTAAAAAGGAAAGAAAAAGGTAAAAATGTAAAAGAATGAAGGAAAAGAGGAAAGAGAAAAGGAGAAGGAAAAGAAGAAAAGGAAAAGAAGGTAAGGGAAAGAAATGTAAAAGGAAAAAGAGAGAAGAAAAGAGGGAAAGAAGAAGAAAGGGAAAAAGAAGAAGGAAAAAGAAAAAGGAAAAGAATGAAAAGGAAAAAGAAAGAAAGAAAAGAAAGAAAGGAAATGTAAAAGAAGAAGGAAAGAGGAAGAAGGAAAAGAAAAAAGAAAAGGAAAAGAAGAAGAAGGAAAAAAGAAGGAAAGAAAGAATGAAGGAAAAGAAAAAAGAATCAAGAAAGAAAAGGTAAAAAATAAAAGAAAGAAGAAGGAAAAGAAGAAGGCAGGAAAAGAAGAAAGAAGAAAGAAGAAGGGGGAAGAAAAGAAGGAAAAGGAAAAAGAAGAGAAAAAGGAATGGGGGGAAAAAGAAGGAAAAGGAAAAAGAAAGGAGAAGAAAAGAAAAGAAGGAAAAAGAAAAAAGGAAAAAGAAAAGAAGAAAAGGAAAAAAGGAAAGAAGAAAAAGAAGGAAAAAGAAGGAAAAGAAAAAGAAATAAATGGAAAGAAAGAATGAAGGAAAAGAATCAAAGGAAAAGAAGAAGGAAAAAGAAAAGGAAAAAGAATGAAAAAGAATCAAGAAGAAAAAAATGAAAAAAGAAGAAGAATGTAAAGAAAAGAAGGAAAAGTAAAAAGAAGGGAAAAAGAAGGAAAAAAAAGAAAGGAAAGAGAAAAAAGAAAAGAAAAAAAGAAGGAAAAGGAAAAAAGGTAAAGAGAAAAAAAGAAAAGAAGAAGGAAAAATAAAGAAAGAAGGAAAAGAAGAAAAAATCAAAAGGAAAAAAAGAAGGAAAAGGAAAAAGGGTAAAGAAAAAGAAAGAAGGAAAAGAAGGTAAGAAGAAGGAAAAGAAAGAAGGAAAAGAAAAAAGAAAAGAAAGAAGGAAAGAAGAATCAGAATAAATGAAAAAGGAAAAGAAAAAAGGAAAAGGAAAGGAAAAGGAAAGGAAAAGAAAGAAGAAGGGAAAAAAGGTAAAAGAAAAGAAGAAAAGAAAAAAAGAAGAAGGAAAAGAAAAAGGAAAGAAGAAGGAAAAAATGTAAAAAAAATGAAGAAGAAAAAAAGAAGAAGGGGAAAATTCGAAGGAAAGAAGAAAGGAAAATTAAGAAAGAAATAAAAGGTAAAAAGAATGAAGGAAAAAGAATCAAGAAGGAAAAGGGGAAAAGAAGAAGGAAAAGAAGAAGGAAAAAAAGTAAAAGAAAAAGGAAAAGGAGAAGAAGGAAAAGGGAAAAGAAGAAGGAAAAAGAAGGAAAGGAAAAGAAAAGAAGGAAAAGAAGAAAGGGAAAAGAAGAAGAAAGAAAAGGAAAAGAAAAAAGAATGAAGGAAAAGAAAGAAGGGAAAAGAGGAAAAAGAAGAAATAAAAGAAAGAAGGAAAGAAAAAGGAAAAAGGAAAAGAGAAGAAGGAAAAGAAGAAAAAAGAAAAAGAAGGAAAAGGAAAAGAAAGGTAAAAAAGAAAAGAGAAAAGGAAAAGAAGGAAAGAAGAAAAAAAGGGTAGAAGGAAAAGAAGAAAAAAAAAGAAAAGAAAAGAAGGAATCAAAAAGAAAAAGAAAAGAAGAAGAAAGAAGAAGGAAAGAAGAAGGTAAAGAAAAAAGTAAAAGAAATGAAGGAAAAGAAGAATCAAAGGAGAAGGAAAAAGAAGGAAAGAAAAAGGTAATAAATGAAGAAGAAGGAAAAGAGAAAGAAGGAAAAAAGGAAAGAAGAAGGCAATAAATGTAAAAGAATGAAGGAAAGGGAGGGGGAAAAGGAGAAGGAAAGAAGAAGGAAAAAAGAAGTAAAAAATGAAAAAGAATGAAGGAAAAAGAAGGGAAAAGAAAGAAGGAAAAGGAGAAGGAAAAAGAGGGGGAAAAGAAGGAAGAAAGAATGAAATGAAAAGAAGGAAAAGAAGAAAGAAGAAGGAAAGAAAAGAAGGGAAAAGAAGGTAAAATGAAATGTCCTCAGGAAAAGGAAAAGAGAAGAAGGAAAGAAGAAGGAAAAAAAGAAGAATAAAATGTAAAAGAATGAAGGAAAAGAGGAGGGGGAAAGAAGAAGGAAAAGAAGAAGGAAAAAGAAAAAAAATGAATGTAAAAAAAGAAGTCGAAGGGAAAAAAGAAGAAGGAAAGAAGAAGGAAAGAAGAAGGAAAAAAACTGTAAAAGAATGAAGGAAAAGAGAAAAGAAGGAAAAGAAGAAGGAAAGAAGAAGGCAAATAAAAGTAAAAAGAAGAATGAAGGAAAAGAGGAAAGGAAAAAGAAGGAAAAAGAAAAAAAGAAGAAGGAAAAAAAGAAGGCAAAGAGAAAAGGAAAAAGAATGAAGGAAAAGAGGAATAAAAAGAAGGAAAAAGAAAGAAAAAGAAAAAGGAAAAAGAAGAATAAAAAGAAAAAGAAAAAAATGAAGAAGGAAAAGAGGAAAAGAAGGGAAGGAAAAAGAAGAAGGAAAGAAAAAAGGAAAAAAAAGAAAAAGAAGAAAAAGAAAAGAAGGAGAAGGAAAAGAAGAAGGAAAAGGAAGAAGGAAAAAAAAGAAGAAAAAAAAAGAATAAAGGAAAAAGAAGGAAAAGGAAAAGAAGAAAGGAAAAGAAGAAGGAAAGATAAAAAGAAAGAAGAAGGGGGAAAAGAAGGAAAAGAGAAAAGAAGAAGGGAAAAAAAAGGAGAAGAAAAGGTAAAGTAAAAAAGAAGAAGGAAAAGGGGAAAAAAGAATGAAAGGAAAAAAAAGTGAAGAAGAAGGAAGAAGGAAAAAAGGTAAAGAAAAGAAGGAAAAGAAATCAAGAAAAGAAAAGGAAAAAGAAGGGAAAAGAAAAAAAGAAAAGAATGAAAAGGAAAAGAGGAAGGAAAAAGGAAAAGGGAAAAGAAGAAGGAAAAAAGAAAAGGGCAAAAAAGAAGGTAAAAGAATGAAAGGAAAAGGAAAAGAAGGAGGAAAAGGAAAAAGAAGGGGAAAAGTTAAAAGAAGTCGAAGAAAAAAAAAAGAATGAAAAAGGAGAAGGTAAAAGAAGGAAAAGAGGCAAAAATGATTTGAAAGAATAAAGGAAAAGAGAAGAAGGAAAAGAAGGAAAAGAAAAAGGCAAAAAAATAGAAAAAGAAAAGGGAAAAAGAAAGGAAAAGGGAAAAGAATCGAAGAAGAAGAAAAGAAAAAGAAGAAGGAAAAGGTAAAAGAAAAGAAGGCAAAAGAAAGAAGGAAAAGAGAAAAAAGAAGAAGAAGAAGGTAAAAGAAAAAAGAAGTAAAGAATGAAAAGAAGAAGAAGGAAAAGAGGTAAAAGGAAAAGGTAAAGAGAAAAGAAGAAACGGAAAAGAATGAAGGAAAAAGAAGGGAAAAGAAAAAGAAGGGAAAAGAGGAAAAAAGAAAGAGGTTAAGAATGAAAAGAAGTAAGGAAAAAATGTAAAAGAAGAAAAGAGGTAAAAGAAGAAGGAAAAGAAAAAAGAAGAGAAAAAGAAGAAAGAGAAAAAGAAGGAAAAAAGAAGTAAAGGGAAAAGAGGTAAAAGAAAGAAGGAAAAGAGGAAAGGAAAAGAGGTAAAGGGAAAAAGAAGAAGGAAAGAAGAAAAAAGAATTAAAGGGAAAAGAAAAAGGAAAAGAAGAAAGGAAAAAGAAGGCAAGGGGAAAAGAGGTGAAGGAAAAAGAGAAAAAGAGGAGAAAAAGAAGAAGGAAAAAGGTAAAAGTCGAAGAAGAAGTAATGAAGAAGGAAGAATAAAAAAAGTCGAAGAAGAAGGTAAAAGTAATCAATAAAAGTAAAAAAGGGTGAGAAGGTGAGGAAGAAGGTAAAAGTGGTGAAGGAAGGTAAAAGGAAAAAGAAAAAAGGCAAGTCATGTAAAAGGTAATCAAGAAGAAAGGTAAAAAAGTGAAGGTGAAAGAAAAAGTTAATCAAGAAGGAAAAGGTAAAAAGAAGAGTGTAAATGTGGTGTAAAAATCAAGAAAAGGAAAAAATCAGAGAAAATGTCGAAAAAAGTAAAAAGTAATGAAGAAGAAAAGGTAAAAGAAGTGTTGAATAAAGAGAACACTGGTCAATTTAATTGAAATCCTAAAAGAGTGTAAAATGTCGAAGAACAAGTAAAAAAATCAAAGAAGTCAAGTAAAAGAATGAAGAAGAAGGTAAAAAGTGTTGGCAAGAACGAGAAAAGGTAAAAGTAATCAAGAAGAAGAAGTGAAAATATGGTGAATGAAAAGGTAAAAAAGTGAAGAAGAGGGTAAAAAGTAAATGAAGAAGGAAAAGGTAAAATTAAAGGTAAAAGTAATCAAAAGAAAAGGTAAAAATCGTCGTAAAAGTTATGAAAAGGCAAATGTCATGTAAAAGAAGAAAAGGTAAAAGAAGTCAAGAAGGAAAGGTAAAAGAGAATTCAAATGAACAAAAGTAAAAAGAAGTCAAGTAAAAGAAGTCGAATAAAAGTAATCAAGAAGGAAAATGTAAAATCGTTTGTCTTGGAAGAGGAAAAGAAAGTAATCAACTTGGAGGAGCTTAGTGAGGAAGAGTAAAATAATCAAGAAGGAAAAGAAAAGTTTAAAAAAGGTAAAAGTAATCAAGAAAAAATTGAGGTAAATGTAAAAATTGTGAAAAATGAAAAGAAAGTGTAAACTTGGAGGAAAAATTGAGGGAAGAGAAAATAAGGTAAAAGTAATCAAGGGAAAGGTTTAAATGTCATATTGAATGAAGAAGAATCAAGTAAAAGTCGTGTTGTCTTGAATAGGAATAGTCAAGTAAATTTGAGAAGAAGCTGGTAAAAGTAATCAAAAAGATGGAAAAGGTAAAAAGAAAGTCGAAATGTAAAAGTAATCAATGAAGAAAAGGGTAAAATGTCGGTTGGTTGGTAAAAAAAGTCGAATCAAGAAGGAAATTTGGAAAGGTAAAAGAAGTCGAGGAAGAGGTAAAAGTAATCAAGGCTTAAAAAAAGCTCGAATGTCATGTACCTTAATGAAGAAGAAGAGTGTTGCTTGGTGAGGAATATGTAAATTTTGGAGCTTGGTGAGGAAAATTAAATGTGGTGTAACTTGGTTAAAAAATTTAAATGTCATACTAATGGAGCTTGGTGAGGAAGAATAGTAAATATGGTGTAGCTTGTTAGAAAGGTTTAAATGTCATGTACCTTAATGAAGTACCTTAAATGTGAAGAAGAGGGTGAAAATGTAAATGTGTTAGCTTGGTTAGGAAAAAGTTTAAATGTCATGTACCTTAATTTGCGGGAGGGTGAGTCGAAGAGTGTAAATTTGGTGGAGCTTGGTGAGGAAAGGTTTAAACTTGGATTAGGAAAAAGTTTAAATGTCATGTACCTTAATGAAGAAGAGGGTAAATAGTGTAAATTTGAGGTGGAGCTTAGTGAGGAATAGTGTAAATTTGGTGGAGCTTGGTTAGGAAAATGAGTGTGAAGAATGTGTTGTAGGAATAGTGTAAATTTGGTGGAGAAAAGGTGTAGCTTGGTTAGGAAAAAGTTAAATATCATGTACCTTAATGAAAGAAGAGGGAGGTAATGTCGTGAGGAATAGATTGAAATTTGAGGAATAGGAAGAGTGTAAATTTGGCTGGAGGAAAAGTTTAAATGTCATGGAAGAAGTGTTGCTTAGTGCAAATTGGTGGAGCTTAGTGAGGAAAATTAAATGTGGTGTAGCTTGATTAGGAAAAGTTTAAAATCTATGTACCTTAATGAAGAGATACCTTAATGAAGAAGAGGGTGAGGAAGAGTGTAAATGTGGTGTAGCTTGGTTAGGAGAATCATGTACCTTAATGAAGAGGGTAAATGTTGTGTTGCTTGGGGAATAGTGGAAATTTGGTGGAGCTTCTTGGTGAGGAAGAGTGTAAATGTGGGTAACCCGGATTAGGAAAAAGTTTAAATGTCATGTACCTTAATGAAGAAGAGGGTAAATGTCGTCGTGTTGCTTGGTGAGTGAAATAGTGTAAGTTGGTGGAGCTGGAGGAAAGGTGAGGAAGAAAGTTTAAATGTCATGTGAAGTGTATGTCGTGTTGCTTGTGAGTGTAAAATTTCATGTACCTTAACGAGGAAGAGAGGTAAAAATGGTGGTGTAACGGATTGGAAAAGTTTAAATGTCATGTACCTTAATGAGGAAAATAGTGAGGAATAATTAATTTGAGGGAGCTTGGTGAGGAAGAAGAGTAAATGTGGTGTAGCTTGGTTAGGAAAGTTTAAATGTCATAATACCTTAATGAAGAAGAGGGTAAATGTTGCTTGGTGAGGAATAATTAATTTTAATTGGAGCTTGGTGAGGAATAGTGGTGTAGCTTGGTTGGAAAAGTTTAAAATGTCATGTACCTTAATGAAAGAATTAAATGTCGTGTTTGAGAAATTGAGGAATGAGTGTAAGTTGGTGGAGTTAGTGAGGAAGAGTGTAAATGTGGTGTAGCTTGGTTAGGAAAAAGTTTAAATGTCATGTACCTTAATGAAGAAGAGTGTAAATGTCGTGTTGTTTTGTGAGGAATAGTGTAAATTTGGTGAGCTTGGTGTGGAAGAGTGTAAATGTGGTGTAGCTTGGTTAGGAAAAGTTTAAATGTCATGTACCTTAATGAAGAAGAGGGTAAATGTCGTGTTGCTTGGTGAGGAATAGTGTAAATTTGGTGGAGCTTGGTGAGGAAGAGTGTAAATGTGGTGTAGCTTGGTTAGGAAAAGTTTAAATGTCATGTACCTTAATGAAGAAGAGGGTAAATGTCGTGTTGCTTGGTGAGGAATAGTGTAAATTTGGTGGAGCTTGGTGAGGAAGAGTGTAAATGTGGTGTAGCTTGATTAGGAAAAGTTTAAATGTCATGTACCTTAATGAAGAAGAGGGTAAATGTCGTGTTGCTTGGTGAGGAATAGTGTAAATTTGGTGGAACTTGGTGAGGAAGAGTGTAAATGTGGTGTAGCTTGGTTAGGAAAAGTTTAAATGTCATGTAACTTAATGAAGAAGAGGGTAAATGTCGTGTTGCTTGGTGAGGAACACTGTAAATTTGGTGGAACTTGGTGAGGAAGAGTGTAAATGTGGTGTAGCTTGGTTAGGAAAAGTTTAAATGTCATACCTAATGAAAATGTTGCTTAGTGAGGAATGAGTGTAAATTTGGTGTTGCTTGGTGAGGAATTGTGTAAATGGGGGCTTGGAAAAGGTTAAATATCCACGTACCTTAAGAGTGTAAATGAGGTGAAGGTGTATGATTTGGTTCTTGGTGAAAAGTTTAAATGTCATGTAGGAAAAGGTTAATCTCACGTACCTTAATGTGAAAGAATTGTAAATGTCATGTTGCTTAGTGAGGATGAAGAAGGTGAGGAAGGTGTAAATGTGGTGTAGCTTGGTTGGGAAAAGTTTAAATGTCATGTACCTTAATGAAGAAGAGGGTAAATAGTGTTGCTTGGTGAGGAATAGTGTAAATTTGGTGGGCTTAGTGAGGAAGAGTGTAAATATGGTGTAGCTTTGTTGGAAAAAGGTTAAAATGTCATGTGCCTTAATGAAGAAGAGTGTAAATATCGTGTTGCCCTGTGAAGAATAGTGTAAACTTGGGGAGCTTAGTGTGGAAGAGTGTAAATGTGGTGTAGCTTGGTTGAGAAAAGTTTAAATGTCATGTACCTTAATGAAGAAGAGGGTAAAATGTCGTATTTGTTGTGAGAATAGTTCTAAATTGGTGGAGCTTGGTGAGGAAGAGTGTAAAATGGGTGTAGCTTAGTTGGGAAAAGTTTAAATGTCATGTACCTTAATGAAGAGAGTAAATGTCGTGTTGTTGAGGAATGTATGTAGTGGTTTGGGTGGAGCTTGGTGAGGAAGAGTGTAAATGTGGTGTAGCTTGGTTGGGAAGAGTTTAAATATGTGCCTTAATGATTAGGGGTAAATATCGCGTTGCTTGGTGAGGAATAGTGTAAATTTGGGAAGAAGAGGTGTAAATGTGGTGTTGGTTCGAAAAAGTTTAAATGTCAGAGGAAGAAGTTAAATGTCACGTTGCTATGGAGGAAGAATTGAAATTGTTGCTTAGTGAAATGTCATGTAAAACTGGTGGATCGTGTTGCTTGGTGAGGAACCAGTTTAAATTTAGTGGAGCTTGGTGAGGAAAGGTGTGGTGGCTTGAGTTGGAAAAGTTTAAATGTCATGTACCTTAATGAAGAAGAGGGTAAATGTCGTGTTGCTTGGTGAGGAATAGTGTAAATTTGGAGGAGCTTGGTGAGGAAGAGTGTAAATGTGGTGTAGCTTGGTTAGGAAAAGTTTAAATGTCATGTACCTTAATGAAGAAGAGGGTAAATGTTGTGTTGCTTGGTGAGGAATAGTGTAAACTTGGTGGAGCTTGGTGAGGAAGAGTGTAAATGTGGAGCTTGGTTAGAAAAGTTTAAATGTCATGTACCTTAATGAAGAAAGAGGTAAATATCATGTTGCTTAGTGAGGAATTGTGTAAATTTGGTGGAGCTTTGTGAGGAAGAGTGTAAATGGTGCAGCTTGGTTAGGAAAAGTTTAAATGTCATGTACCTTAATGAAGAAGAGGGTAAATGGTGTTGCTTGGTGAGGAATAGTGTAAATTTGGTGGAGCTTGGTGAGGAAGAATTATAAATGTGGTGTTAGGAAAAGTTTTAATATAAATTACCCAAATGATGTAGAAAATCAAATGTCGTGTTTGCTTGGTGAGGATAGTGTAAATTTAATTGGAGCTTGGTGAGGATGTAAATATGGTGTAGCTTGGTTAGGAAAAGTTTAAATGTCATGTACCTTAATGAAGAAGAGTGTAAATGTCGTGTTGCTTGGTGAGGAATAGTGTAAATTTGGGGGAGCTTGGTGTGGAAGAGTGTAAATGTGGTGTAGCTTGGTTCGAAAAAGTTTAAATGTCATGTAATTAATGAAGAGAGGAGTAAATG